CTTCGGAACACCTTGTATATATATATATATATATATATATATATATATATATATATATATTAAAATAATGTTTAAAATTGTATTTACATAAAATACAATAATTTACGCTTACATTTAATGTTTTAATATTAACTCTTGTGCTTCGTAGATTTTTACGTGGCATTGACATTTTATCAATATTATAAAGTAAAACAAAATAAATGTATAATACTTATAATAATTTATAATAGTCAGTAATTATTCCTTTATAATTTTATTTAATCCTCCGTAAGGGTGCGTTCCCATTTAGCGCGTCACACGTCGCGTCGTCCGTCGCGGACCAATCAAATCGTCCTATTGTATTGCCTAACTTTACGACGAATAAAATGGGATGATTTGATTGGTCCGCGAAGGACAACGCGACGCGTGATGCGCTAAGTGAAAACGCACCCTAACGGCGCTCAAAAACATTTTTATTTACAGACTGTGTAAATATGGCAATTAGAATTTCGTCTTGAAACTTCGTAACTTTTCATGTACAACCTTCTAGACCAGAGCTCGGAATTAGTTATCCATTTCGGCCGATTCTCGAGCTACGCCTTCTATCTTCCTTTTCCCATATAGGATTTTACTATTGACCTAATAATGGTCCAAGATTGGTTGCCAGATCATCTAGCGCAGTAATGACGACTATGCCTGGCCCACCAATGGGAATACTATGGAATGATAACTTCGGCCCAGTACTGGCAAATGGTACTGGCCCAACCGTTGTTAGCTAATACTTCCCCAGCATTGGCAGTACAATCGGTTATTAATGATTAAGTACTACCAATTCAGTAATTTAGTAATTTTTTGGCCAGTATTTCTAGTAAATACTGATAATAAAATTACTGTTAAATATTGATAGTAATCAAATATTGAGAATTATTGTGCAAAGATGAAAAATGAGAAAATCATAATATTATAAAAATATATTTGTAATTTTTAATTTTCTCATGTCTCATAAATCGCTAAGAACTAAAGATTGTTAACAACACGTTCCAAACTTTCGCGAATCCTTCCTCGATAATTTCGATCCCAAACGGTAATACCGGTTACCCACCCATGTCCTGACCGCGTCAAGAAGTATGGCTACGGTAAAATTTCCAAAAAATTGAAAACATTTTTTTGTTTAAACGGTACTTTATTTTCGTAAAAATAAATTGCAATTCGATTTATAACGAAAAAATATTTTTTAACGAAGTTAGAGCGAACATTGTAAGGTATGATACAGCATCGCTAAGCATATTGGAGGGCACCGTGGCGCGAATTGAGCAAAGATGAACTGCTTACTTGTTGTTTAGGAGGTTAC